CCGGTCGCCAGCCCTTATCTTTACTACACTATTCTGGTTAACTAATTGCATAACCTGTGACCTGAAACCCATCGGGCCTTTTTAAGTGGTACACACTCTACACTGCTCAGTAGTTCAGTCAAGATGGGAAACATCCTGATCTCTTGTTAGGGAACTGCTGAATCTGGCAGCACCACAGAGGCAAGTCTGCCACATCTCCATATCCCCAGATCAAACCAGTAGCAAGGCTGGGAATGTATTCATAGCAGGTATACAAATACATACATAACACACATGGCCAGCAACACAGAACAACACAGACAGAAACACTCGGCACTCAGACAAACAGCAACAATGGCCTCATCCTGTTCCCCTCTCTGGCTGATCAGGATGAAGTTCCATTAGTGGGAAATATCATAGAATCATAGAATCATAGAATTGTCAAGGTTGGAAAAGACTCTTAAGATCATCGAGTCCAACCGTTAACCTAACACTGCCAAGTGTATGAAACCTAGAAGTTCACAATGGAAAATTATACACTAATAATTCTGTTGGTTACAGTACGTCAGCCAACAACAGCAATTTACAGGATCAGAAAGTCTATTACGTGCCCTGATCACTTGTAACTGACCACAGTAGTAGCTATTTAAAAAATTATAGCAAAGTTCTCCACTGGCCTAGCAGTAGCACTTTCACAGTATTTGATATTAGAAATCAATGTATAAACCAAAACAGTGCTGATGAGGAAGCAAGGATAATTTTCTGAATTTTGGAATTTTCCACAGGAATCACCAACTAAAATAGGCAACCATTTCATCTTGTTGGTGTTGTCTCTCAAACAGAACATGAGCATCCTAAGTAGTGAAACAAAGCATCAAAATCAAAAGAATGGAAAGTCTCACACAGAATTCAAATCTACTGTCGTCTTATTTTGGGAACAGAGAAACTATCCCATGGACTAGGACAACACCTTTTATACAAGTCTGACACACTCATGTATTACTCATGTATCATATTCAGGATATAGCATCTTTAGGAAACGGTATATTCATTTTCTTTACAGAAAACTAAGGAAAACTGTATTAAATTTTTTTTCAAATGTTTATATACTGTTTATTTATTTATTTAAAGAAAGTTAACTGGTATTTCTAGAAGCAGTACTGTACTCAAAGTACAGCAATATGGTACTCAATTGTTTAATCTGTAACAGATCCTCTGTAAAAGTATCTTCATGTATTTAACACTGAAAGCCACAGAGCTAAAACACTACTACTTCAATCATTAGTCTCGCCCTGGGTAGTGCAAGTCCCAACTGTGAATATGAAACTGTTTTCTTCCTCAAAGCATCATTTACTCTGTACACACCTGGAAATGCAATCCGAAACTGCGATCTTGGATTTGAAAACAGATAAGTTTGCTCTTTTATATTTGATCTTTTGCCTATTCATTTATTTTTCCATTCGTTATTTGAGCTGCAGATGAACACAGCTGGGAGTCACTCTTCTACTTGTGCTGACTCATCTAACTAGAAAGGTCTTTGTTGGTTCCCCCAGTCCTCTCTTCTAATTCCACTACGCTGTACATATTCCCTCCTATGACACTTGTAATTGACTTTCTGAAGTTTGCGAAACTGTGAGGACTTTGTAAACATCAAAAGTATTCTGTCATATATTATTCTTGCTCCTTTTGTGCTTATAGGTGGAGGAAAAGGCTAGTAACACAGTTAAAATAAAAAACACGTCAAACTCATTAATTTCATGAATTATTTCTCAGGGCAATACAGAAGTACAGTGGTTAAGATTTTAATTCCTCTATCATACAATTTAATTGGTGATACCAGCTTCAAAATTTGACTCAACTTTACTCCCAACTCTTCTATCTCCTCCCCTCCGAGCAGCATAGGGGGATGGGGAATGGGGCTTGTGGTCAGTTCATAACACCATCTCTGCCACTCCCCATGGGCCATATGTCCTGCCAGAAAGCCTGCTCCTGTGTGGGCTCCTCTCCACAGGCCACAGGTCTTGCCAGGAGCCTGCTCCAGCATGGGTTGCCCAGGGGCTGCAGCTTCCATCAAGGCATCTCCACCTGCTCCGGCATGGAGTCCTCCACAGGCTGCAAGTGGATATCTGCTCCACCGTTAGCCTCCATGGGCTTCAGGAAGACAGCCTGCCTCACCATGGTCTTCACCACAAGCTGCAGGGGAATCTCCTCTCCCTCCTTCTTCACTGACTTTGGTGTCTGCAGGGTTATTTCTCTCACTTGTTCTCACTTCTCTCTCACAGCTGCTACGCAGTGTTTTTTACCCTTTCTTATGTATGTTATCACAGAGGCACCACCAGCATCACTGATGGGCTCAGCTTTGGCTAGCAACAGGTCCACCTTGGAGCTGGCTGGAACTGGCTCTGTCCGACATGGGGGCAGCTTCTGGCATCTTCTCACGGAAGCCACCCCTGTAGCCCCCCCCGCTACCAAAATCTTCCACATAAACCCAATAGAAGGTTATATGTATATCTGGAGTTCTGTATGCAAATTATGTTTGTAGTTCATGGCTGTACACATATGAAAATAATTGCTCTATTTTTAAAGTTCCTATGCAGAAGGCAGATACTTGAATGAAGTTTTTTGTGATGTAACAGATAGCAATTGGCTCCTTGTATACTCCTGAAGATGAAGCTAGACCAATTCAGACTAGAGTTAAAGCTCAAATTTTTCAGTATGAGGAACAATTTATCAAAGACTGTGTTGGCTTCTTCATAAGTAGAAATTTTTACATCAGGATTGGATGGTTTACTGAAGAGGTGTTTTAGTTTGAACAGGAATTAACAGGAACCACTTACCAAAGGTAAGTTTTTGGTCATCTGTCTCAGCCATCATCCTTTTTTTTTTTTTTTTTTTAAACTGTTCTCACTGTGATCTGCGTCAAACTTCATCCATTTTTAACATTATAGCTTCTTCTGCTTTATTTTTTAGAATCATGGATTTTCCAGGACACTTTGAGCAAGTCTTTCAGCAACTAAACTACCAGAGGCTTCATGGCCAACTTTGTGATTGTGTCATTGTGGTGGGAAACAGACATTTCAAAGCCCATCGCTCTGTTCTAGCAGCGTGTAGCACACACTTCCGAGCTCTCTTTACTGTAGCAGAGGGTAATCAAACTATGAACATGATTCAGCTGGACAGTGAAGTGGTGACAGCAGAAGCTTTTGCTGCCCTGATTGATATGATGTACACTTCTACACTAATGCTTGGGGAGAGCAATGTAATGGATGTCTTGCTGGCTGCTTCTCACCTACATTTGAACTCTGTTGTTAAAGCCTGTAAACACTACCTTACTACCAGGACACTACCAATGTCTCCACCTAGTGACAGAGTTCAGGAGCAAAATGCACACATCCAAAGATCTTTCATGCTTCAGCAGCTTGGGCTGAGCATTGTGAGCTCTGCATTAAATTCCACTCAGAGCACAGAGGAACAACTAAATACCATGAGCTCATCAATGAGAAGTAACATAGAACAACGTACTACCTTTCCTATCCAGCGTCTCCACAAGCGTAAACAGTCTTCTGATGATCGGGCCAGACAGCAAATCAGACCTACCATAGATGAGTCCATTTCAGATGTTACTCCAGAGAGTGGGCAGTCAGTAGTTCATTCACGAGAAGATTTTTTTTCACCAAATTCACTGAAGAATGTGGACAATTCTAAGGCTGATGCTGTTATTGATAAACAAGAGGATAATACTATTATGTTTGATCAGTCTTTTGGTGCTCAAGAAGATGCTCAAGTGCCTAGCCAGTCAGACAACAGTGGAGGAAACATTTCACAGATATCCATCTCATCTCAGATAATACAAGTGGAAACCAGTTTTGATCAGGAAGCTACTTCTGAAAAAAAAAACTTCCCATGCAAAAATCCAGAGGTCAGTCTAAATGAAAAAGAACACACGGGGGTGGTGGTTAAATCTGAGCCTTTGAGTTCCCCAGAGCCTCAAGATGAAGTGAGCGATGTCACTTCTCAAGCAGAAGGCAATGAGTCTGTTGAAGTGGAAGGAGGAGTGGTGAGCACAGAGAAGATAGAACTGAGTCCTGAAAGCAGTGATCGTAGCTTTTCTGACCCACAGTCTAGTACTGATAGGGTGGGAGACATCCATATTATGGAAGTGTCAAATAACCTGGAACACAAGTCCACCTTCAGTATCTCAAATTTTCTGAATAAAAGCAGAGGTGGTAACTTTGGTGCAAGTCAAAATAGCAATGATAACATTCCGAATACAACAAGGGACTGCAGAATGGATGGTGATGCCTCTTACTTATTGAGTCCAGAGTCTGGGCCTGCTAGGAGTCATTCCTCTGTTACGGTTTGTCATGTAGAGAATCCATTCAGTGAGTCTGCAGACTCTCATTTTGTTAGACCAATGCAGGATGCAATGGCTCTTCCATGTGTACAGACTTCCAGGTACAGGGCTGCAGACCAATTTGGTATGGATTTTCCAAGGTCAGGCTTGGGCCTGCATTCTTCATCAAGGACGGTGATGGGATCTGTAAGAGGTGGAGCTAGTAGCTTTCCTGGCTATCGTCGCATAGCCCCCAAAATGCCTGTTGTGACCTCTGTCAGGAGCTCCCAGCTACAAGATAACACTTCCAGTTCCCAGCTGTTAATCAATGGGACCACTTTTGAAAATGGACATCCTACACAACCTGGTCCACCACAGTTGACAAGGGCATCTGCAGATGTTCTTTCAAAATGTAAGAAGGCCTTATCTGAACATAATGTCTTGGTTGTTGAAGGTGCTCGTAAATATGCCTGTAAAATCTGCTGCAAGACTTTTTTGACCCTAACAGACTGTAAGAAGCACATTCGTGTGCATACAGGAGAAAAGCCTTATGCCTGTTTAAAGTGTGGCAAACGGTTCAGTCAGTCCAGCCATCTATATAAACATTCCAAAACAACCTGTCTGAGGTGGCAGAGCAGCCATGGGAATGCTAATACAAACTTTTAAGACTGGAGTATTTCAGGAACACTAATGTTCTTTTGTTCAAGGCTGAAGGTAAAGAAGCTGCCCTTGTAGATTAGTGAATGCTTGCATGTGATTGTGCTGCATTCACAAAAGTCTTGGTTCTGTAAATTGGTGATGTATTTACCTCACAGGGGTGTTGTGAGACTTAAACAACTGTTAATGGCCTGCTTTGAGATCTGCAGAAGGAGGCACTGTAGACAGGTTAAGAGTTATTGTTAAATACGTGCAGGTCTTGGGTCCACAGGGATGTAATCCCTAAAACCAAGTAGTTCCACTGTAGGGCAGACAGGTGGGGGTTGCGTGAGAATGTAGTTAACTCCTAATTATGTTGGAGTAGCATGTTTCAAGAATGAAAAACTGAAGGGCAAATAATTGGGGGGGGGGGTTGTAAAATTCTGAAAGCATTAAAATAAATGACCCATAACATAAGTTGGTAAGTTGTGTATGAACAGTAATGCAAAGAGATCTTTACAGTAACTAATACAGATTGCATATTCTTAAAAGAAAACCAACCTTGGATGCACCTGTCTGCCATAAAATGCTTTAAAGTGTTAATTATGAAAGTAGTTTTAGGGTTCTGAATGCATTTTTGGCTGTTTTGCAGTAAAGGACAGTGTTTAATGAAGGTACTTAAAATAAGTCCACAAGTAACTTCTGGACTGTTAGATGTGTATATAAATACTTTGAATACAGCAAGATCTGGTTGTTTCACCATTTTTTCTGTAAAAACTTGTATTGAGTAATAAGTGAAATACTGTTTTTTTGTTTGTGCTGTTCTTAGCAATAGTTTAACCAACTTGTATTTCATATGTTTAAATTTCATAGACATGGAAGCCTGAAACAAGCTTGTCTATATCTACTTTGTTTTTTTAAAATGAGAGATGATTTGTGGTGGCTCTTTTTACTGGGTAAAGTAGTTTCTTATTCCAGATGCAGATAGTCAATCTGATTCACATTATTGTGTAAGCATATTATTGTTTCCTCATTTTATCTTCAGGCTTTGATTTTTTCCTCCATATACTTACTGTCCTTCCTAGCTATAGATTGTTCCTCAGTTCAATGTCAGGAATGAGCCTCACTTGCCATATTTATGGATGTCTCTGTATAAAACGTAGCTATCAACACCAATCCTTCAGTTTAGAGAAGTATCATAAATGTACTTTTTCAAGTAAGTAAAAATCTAGCATTAATTTCATTAAAACTATAGCATTATGCACTTTGTAAAGCAGAAGTTCAGTGATCTTTATTCTTCAGGTGAATTTCATAGATTGTGTTTTAATTTCCTCTTCTTAGAAACCACTGTAACTAATAATGTTTGCAGAGGTTTTTTGGTTTTGTTTTTTGTTACAGATGCCCATAAACTAACTACTGCCTTTCAATATGTTGGGTTTCTAAATAAATTTTGGAGTACTTACTTACTTATACTGATAAATGTTACTCTGCTACATGGGAGCTGGGTCAGTGCTTCAGCATGTCAGTTCTACCTAGAACAGACAGATATTTAACATTTTCTATATCTAAGTCACACAGCAGATGCTGCTTTTAATATGAAAACGTACTTGCAAACTTCCCCTCTTTGTTCTGTATAGCAAATATATCCTGTGTGATGTTATTGACCAATTTTGAGGAACTTGTGCTATCCGATAGACAGGTTAGCCTTCTGAATGATCTTGGTTTTATATTAAGGTAAACTGAAAAGAAAATTCTAATTCACAGTGCTCTAACTAATTTTAACTGGATGAACAATCCGAAGTATTGAAGCACCAAAACAAAATGTGCATTGTCGGACCAAAGGAAATATGGAACTCTCTCTACATGTGTTTATATGAAACAGTAGTTCACTAATAAAGAAATACAGCTTCATCTCCTCTAACCACACTTCTCCACGTTGGAAAAACTGCCTAATGTCTGTCAATACTTTATTTGCAGCTTGAGCATCCAAAGTAAATAAGAATGTGGAACTATGGTAAACGGCATGATTAAATCCTTTAGTATGTTAAAATCTCACTATAGGTTTTATTTAATGGTCACATTTCTGGATCCTTATTTTTAAAGCATTAAAGAAATTTGTCATACTTACAGAAAGCAGTAGGAAAGAGCACATTTTGTTTGATAATCATATTGATATCAGGGTCTAATGACATTGAGCCTCACTCACTCTCACTGGATCAACAATAAGATACAGTATTTTCTACTTAATTATCTTGCTTGTGTGTTGCCTTATTAGTGACATCCTGCCTATTTTTTCCATCTTCCTTGCCTTTCTAGTGTTTCCCTTAAAATTAGTTTTATCTGTATTTTCTATCTGCTTTCATATGCTACATTGCACCTGAAACCCTACCATGTTTAACTGTACTTTTTGACTAGCCAGAGGTTGTAAGGGAGGACTTAGTTTAAAAAAAAAATAATTTTTTTTTTCGCAAATAGCAATTTTTAATTTTCATCATTCATTGATTCTAGTGTTCCTGGAGGGGCATACTGAAAATCCAGGAACTTGTGTCTGACTGCTCTTGCTTTCTTGGTCTTTCACTATCATAGATTCACAGAACATTTGGGTTAGAAGGGACCTCAGGAGGTCTCTAGTCCAACATCCTGCTCAAAACAGGGTCAGCTATGAGATCAGATCAGGTTGCTCAGGCTTTGTGCAGTCAGGGCTTGAAAACTTCCAAGAACAGAACTCCCACAACCTCTCTTGGCTGCTGTTCACTGCTTGACTGTCCTCATAGTGAAAAAGTTTTTCCTCATATCCAGTCTGAACTTCTCTTGTTTCAACTTTATGCCTGTTGTTTCTCAGCCTCCCACTATGCACCACTGTGAAGAGCCTGGCTCCATCTTCTTGTTGATCTTCTTGTATGTATTGGAAGGCTGCTACTAGGTCCCCCAAAGCCTTTTTTTCTCCAAGCTGAACAAGCCCATTTCTCTCAGCCTCTCCTTATGGGGCATTTGCTCTAGCTCCCTGCACTTCTTAGTGGCTGTACTGGGTCTGGCTGGGATGGAGTTAGCTTTCTTCATAGCAGCCCATATGGTGTTGTGCTTTGCATTTGTGGCTGAAACAGTATTGATAACACACCAATGTTTTGGCTATTGCTAAACAAGTGCTTGCAGGGTGGATGTTTGGCTGCTGGCCAGGGTCAACCCACCCCAGTGGCCTTCCGCTGAATTTGCTCCATTTTGTTGATCTCTTTCCTATACTGGGGACCCAAAACTGGATGCAATATTCTAGATGTGGTCTAATGAGTGCCAAGTAAAGGGAGATGACCACTTCCCTGGATCTATTGGCTATGTTCCTGTTAATACAGCCCAGGATGCTGTTAGCTGCCTTTGCTGCCTGGGCATACTGCTGGCTCATGTTCAGCTTGCTTTCTACCACAGTCCCCAGTCCTTTACAGCAGAGCTGCTTCCCAGCCAGTCTGTCCCCAGCCTGTATAGTTGCAAGGGATTTTTTTCCCTCGTGAGGGCAGAGTTTGGCATTTGTCCTTGTTGAGTTTTATAAGGTTCTTCCTTTTGGCCCATTCCTCCAACCTGTCTTGGCCTCTCTGAATGGCAGCCCTGCCCTAGCATATCAACTGATGCCCTAATTTAGTGTCATTTATAAACTTGATGAGAGTGCACTCTATCACCTCCTCCAGGTCATCGAAGAAGATGTTAAACAGGAAAGTTCCCAGGATACACCCTTGCAGTACCTGACTTGTAACCAGCCTCCAGGTAAAGTAAGACCCATTAACCACTACCCTCTGAGCCCAATCATCCAAACAGGTTTTTACTCATCTAGTTGTCTACCCATCCTGAGTGTAATTTCCCAACTTGGATACAAGCATATTGTGGGAGACAGTATTGAAAGCCTTGCTGGAGTCGAGCTAAATGGCATCCAGTGCTCTCCCCTCGTCCACAAATCCAGCCATTTTATCATAGAAGACAATCAGGTTGATCAGGTGTAATTTACTCTTGGTAAATCCATGATGACTGTTCTTAATCACTGTAATGATCCTGACCAGGAGACCATTGTACATTGAGGAATTAGTGATCCACATAACAGTTAACCTGAGGAGGCCAGGCCTGTGCTGTGCTGCACATACAGCGTGGCCTTCAGGCCTGTGTTTGTGCTGCACAACTTCCTTGACTGCAGGATAAACTCAGCCAGCTCATTGTAACAGAGCGCCCACTTGGTACCAGCAATTATGCCAGCTGTGTGGTCTTGCCTTTATCTAACAGTACAGCAAGATGTTATCATGTGAACATCCTTTGTAAATAGAGTTGTTTTCTCGTAAGGAAATTCTATAATAGCTCAAATGACCAAAAAGGAGGAACCTCTCTCCACGAACATAATCTGCACAGCATGCCATGGGAAAATCCATCTGGGGTCCTGTCTGATGCTGCACAAATGAAGGGTTCCCAGCATCTGAAGGGACGTAAAATTTATTTGCTATCTGTATTCCTATTCTTTTTCTGTCTTATTAAAACAGCTATTTTATTAAGCCATTTGTTGTTGGGCCTTTCTTATTGAGATCCAGAAAGAACCCTGCACTGTCTCACTTGCTTACTTTTCTCCACACCCCCCGTCCCCTCCAGTGCAGAACAGTCACCTTTTTCTCCTTCATGTGCCCAGAAACATGTTCTAAGAAGAGTCAGTTCATGATTTTCCCAGGGACTAAAGTTAGACTGACTGGCCTGTAATTCCCTGGATCATCTTTTTGGCCTTTTTTGAAGATGGATGCAACATTTGTCCTTTTTCAGTCATCAAGGACCTCTCCTAATCTCCACAACCTTTCCAAGATGATAGAGAGCAGCCTCCCAGTGACATCAGCCAGCTCTCTCAGCACCCTTGGATGCATCCCAGCTGGTCCCATGGACTTGTATGGGTTGAGATTTCTCAAGAGATTCCTGATTTGACCCTCATCCACCACTGGCAAAGTTCTCCTTGAACCCTGTCTCTACGTACAGAGTCCTGGAAGACCTTGTTGATGAAGACCAAGACAAAGAAG